TCAGCAGAATTAAAATTCGGTATATATACTTGACAAGTCTTTTTATTATTCATACCATATAAATTGAAAATTTGTTGCTGCAGCATGAAATATACTGCGTCAGCGATACTTTTTTTTATATTTTTTTATTACCACATATAACATCGAGAGCAACATTGTTAGCAAACGGAAAAATATTGATAGCTTTCCCTGGATTCTTTGCTATTTCTTTCTCGAGACATTTTGTCAAGATCTCTGCTTTTTCGGACATAACCACGGCAAATTGGTCCAATATACTAAAATGGAACGTTGGCCCGATTAATTTTCTATCATGGTTCCATTGTTTTCCTGAAGTAGTATCAATCAGCGATACATTTACATGTTAAAAATATCGTAAAAGAGATAAAGAATATAAATGCGCATAGATAATTGATATAAATAAAAATAAAAGAAACATTTTTTACACCATTTTTTTATTTTATGTATTTTAGTTTTGTTTTTCTTGCATATCGCCATTGAATATTTGTAAAGTAAATAAGAAAAATTCCATGAATAATTGAATAATGTTTTAAAGCACGCCAATTTACATAAATAATTAATATTAATGTAAAATTAGTTACAAGTAATTGGTCAAAGATAAGAACAAAAAAAATATATTTTTGTATTTTTGGTCAAGATATGCGTATATACAAACTTGCGTATTCATATTAGAGTGAAACATTACTTTCTCATTTTCTTATGGTTTGTTCAAAATGTTTTCGCGAGTAACTATACATCAAATATAATCTAATGTAAGCTGCAATTTACTTTTTATCTTTAATAAGGTATTAAAAATAGATATAAAAGAATTCATGCGTTTACCTGTAGAAGTTAGAAGTCCTTTGCCTAACCAAGACTCCAGCATCTCATAGGGAAATCCTTTCTCAATATTTACGGTGCTGGGCAAAATAATCTGTAAAAATATATTTAAAAACAATATAACCATGCAAGTAATAATTTATCATATTTATTTAAACAGGATATCTTTTTCCAAATTTTTATTTTTTGAAAAGAATATCATATGCATAAATTTTATACCATGTTTTCAACTTTTTTTTATATATATCGTTTTTATATATACGTTTTTCCTTGTATATCATTAGGTAGAAAACACTCAATATAATATTCTAAAATTGAACTAATAATCGATAAATTAACTAATATATTTTATTAGTTAATATATCGATTATTAGTTAATTTAATAAATTTAGAATTAATCGATAAATTATAATTGAATAATTGAATAGATCGCTAAAGTACAGAAATTAACTTGAAGATTGAAATTTGACCGTGAACTATCTGGTTCGAGAGGAGGATCAGTTTTTTTTATAACGCAAATATAATAAAATAAAGTATTATATATACATGTATTATCTCTTAATCTGAATATACGTTCTTTTTATTATACATGCAAATAGTGTCGTGCATTATACATGCAATTACTGACAACTAACATAATTTGTTTTCTCCATGTAATTATTACATTGAGAAAATATTTATAAATAATTATATTCTTTAATGATAAATCATTTTTAATAATACGTTTATTAAAGTTTGTTCTATTCCACTATTGCAAAAAGTTTTGCTTTTTTATGATAATAAATTACTATTTATACATTTATCATCACAAAATATATAATAACTGATACTTACCTCAAAAAATTCAGGTTTATAAAGATTAATCATCGGTTTCAAGCCAATCCAATATATGAAAATTCCATCTTTAAAATCAAGCATACGTTGCAAAAACCATAGTGTGCGTTCTGTAGATAAGTACATAATCAGATATTTAATATTTAATAATTATTATACTAATTTAAAATAAATGACAAATTTGTTTTTTTAAGTTTTTTGCTAAAAATATATACATGACATTTGTAAAAGTATAATGGTAATATCTTATTCATAAAATTTTTCACCATAGCTCGTCAGCTTCATCAATTCAAATGCCACACTGAAAGGGAATCTTCCATATTGAGGAATATTTTTAAGATTTCGTCGAAGAACATTCTGATGATATATTGTCGATATAATTGTAGGGATTATTAAAACAACAAACAAGGTGCACAATATCAAAAAAATTAAGTCCATTCTCGTAGCCTATAAACATATTAAACAGCTTTTAAGTTACCAAATATGTAAATGCATAAATTACTATAAATACTTTTTAAGGAGATATACATTTGAATTTTACACACACAAATATTTCATTGATATGATCTTTATATCATTGTTATCTCTACTAACTAAAAAATTTTATAAAGACACTTTATAATCAATGTCGGTGAAAATATTTCGTTGGCAAAATATTTCTCGAATATTTTTATGTAATTCGTTCAAATGTGGAATTTATGCTCATTAGTCGAAAGATTCATAAAAATCGCTATAAATTATTTATATTTCATTTTTCTATCCTATTTTATTGAGATTTTTAAAAAGATTTAGGACTTAAAATGTATAATTATTCTTTTTCTAATACTAATTTGAAGATATAATATATATGGGTGTTTATAAAATATTGAACCAATATTGAATTTCGAATTTTTTATCAAACGTACATTTGCGCAACAATGTAAGCGCTTCATCATCACTGTTTAATTGAAATATATGTATATAGCCGAGTGTCAAAGAAATATAAATCGCGAGATTTTAAATATACAATGTTAATTTTGCTCCAAATAATTACTTGCCTTAATTTTATATAATACGGTTTAAAGAATCGAAACAGTGAAGAGAAACATTGGTGTTTCATCATAAAATATTCGCCCGTACTTTGTTTAATGAGTTTTTTATTTACATTTTAACTTTAACTTTTTGCGCGAATTACTTTGTGTCTTGAAAAAAATAAAAAGCTAAACCACGAGTTTTAACTAAATGATATTAAAAAAATGCAAGATTTTGGTACTTACTGTTCCTTACGTCAGAGCACTTAATGATCAAACAATGATGCTTCGCCAAAATATTTGATATTTTTGGTAAAGATAACACTGTGCTTCACCACTAATTATATATCACAAATTATCATGTTTTATATATAAATGTAGTATAATTAAATACAACAAGATAATCGAGAAAAAAAAGAGAGGAAGAGAATAGATGCCTTTAAAAAAAAAGCAGGAAATTATATAAGGTTTCTACTTTTTCTTAATTCAAGATTCAATCACGAAATGATACTACACTTTTAATCGTTATTATTCAAGCCTCGTTCTTGCTTTGTACTATTCGAACCAGCAATATATAAATACTCGCACAAAGTACGAAGCCGGCGTGCAATAACAGTGAGATACGAGATAAAATCCGTTTGCATATACATATACGCTAATTATAATCTAATTATCGTTTGCGTATATATAGTATATCTAAGTAATTCTTAAGCGCGCATACTTAAGAAACGCTGCAATATGCACATAGTAACCTTCATCTCAGATAATGTGTAAGATGTAATCATATAATCTCTATTTTTATCGCGTAATGACATCATATATATAACTTCCCTTTTGTGATCTTATTGCGTATTCTGCTAATCATGATTGCTTGTCAAACCAGTTACGGATAATAATTTATAAGTACTTTATCCTTGCTTTATTCTCATGAGGAAATTTTTTACAACCGGTAATTATTGTTCCAGTAGTGATGTATGCACACACACGCATTGAATAATATACAATTTGTATATTGCAATTCTACATTACAGAGAAAAAAATCATTATCGTGTTTAAATACATTTAATTGATCATCATTTTTTTAATTGAAATATTTTTTAATTTTAATTTTTTATTTTAATGCTAAAATATTTCAACTAAAGAAATGATAACCAACTGAATGCATTTAGTCAAGTTAACGATCTTTTTCTCAGTGTATTGAAATAAATGTAGAAATCAAAAAATTTTTCCGATCTTGCCGAACTTATTATTATACATGCGTGTCTATACGTATGTAAAGCGATTAAATTTATCTAAATGCGCGATTTTTGTATATAATATATGAGATGCACAACAGCGCTTGAAAAATGTTTATCACTGATAGAAAAACAGAAAATATGCAAATCATTGAAAAACAAGGGGATATGCAGAAAAAAGTATTACGTATGGAAAAACAGATATGTAAGCAAATTCTACAATCCTTTATCTTTATCTACACCCGTCTCTTTATATTATCGTAACATTACATATCAGTGAAGCCGTAACCTTTTATGCTGTGTCTGAATTGTAAAATAAGTACATATCATTGACTTGAACCTTCATTAGGATTACGAAGTCCAATATCTCTGCTGTGTGTGCTAGACACGGTGTCGAATTATATATTAAAATATAGTACAATACATTCTAAGCATGAATTGTTTCGTTTTCGTCAAACTTTTTATCTGAAGCTTTTCCTTAACTGTCAAATTTCTTTCCCGCCATAAAAGCAATTTAAGAAATCAAGCATGTTTGCACAGTAAAATAAATTTTATGTTTATTAAAAATATCGTATATAGTATATTATAATAAAAATCGTATTGCGTTAAGAAATATAAGTGTTTATAATAAACGATGATGATATAGATTGTGGCTCAGTTATTGTCGAACCAACGTGGCTCGATGATGTTGCATTTGACAGGCGGCAAAGAGATCGGCAAATTCGACGGTAACGACGTAGGTAAAAATTCTCCGGGCCACAGATGAAGAGCATCTACGAACAACAGTCCGATCAAGACTCCGCGCAATAAAGGTGCGAGAACACTCGATATCCGCGCTCTGCTAGCTTTTTGCGGCCAGATAAACACGAGTCGAGAATCTCCTGTAAAGGAAATAAAAGCGCATAATTTATTTTCCTCTCGTACATTTATATCGAAAAAGGTCAACCCTAGTAATTTTATTTTTTATTTTCCTTTAATTTGACAGCTCCGTAAACAAAACGTCAACATTAACATACATACGTTTGATGGGATAATTTCATTATAAAACCATTGTAAATTGTCCATCAAATTTTCGCAATGCTGCTAATTCACATGGGAGAAAAAAAAATAATTAACATCTTGAAATTTATAAGATAACAACTTTCATCTTTTATCCGCTCGTGATTTAACGATTTACGAAAACGTTTAACGAAAACAGCTCGTGAAACGTTTTACCTGTATTACGACGAATGATCGATGACGTGACGCGATGTGGGCAGACGCCAGCCGGTGCGCTAAAGATTCCATCACCGACGTATATTTTCCTCCTTCGATAGCTGAAGATGCGACCTCGCTTCTGTAATGCGCGACACGCGAATTTCTCCTCCCAATTCGTGTAGACAGAACCCGCGAAGGTACTGCCGGTGCTTTCTTGAAGGGAAATACTAGTCACGGTTACCAGAGAAAAGCCGTCATCGTCCACGTCCCGGCGCATCGGCTCGTCCAATTTGCTGTACAAATGTCAATTTTTTTCTAAAATGATATTCTATTCACGCGCACTTAACATTTATAACAAGCCATATAAAACGTTCTTTTACATAATCATTTCAAGTAGGTCGAAACGTTTTTAATTTTTTCATAAGACAAAGGTGTGCACGTGGCGAAGTTTGCGTAATAAAGAAATTCGTAATAAAGAATTAAAATATTAAACATTGCGTAAATTAGTCGCAAGGCGATTAAGTTGTTTATCATGGCACAAAATCCCAAGTCATTTCAAGTAATATTCTCAATCATGTTCGTACTCTTCGTTGTGCCGGATGGTAACATCGTGATTTGCTCGACACTGCGCTTTCTCCAGATTTCAAATATCCCGATAATCTTTCGACCTTTGGCTTGTAGAATTATAATCAAATAATTAATGAACGCCTATATTTTTATGTCGCCTGAAGCATACTAACTACGAACTACGACTGATAAATAGAAAAAATATCGGAAAGAGAATTTGACCTGAAAGCACAAACATGTCGCAGATTTCTTTTGTTTCGTATATTTTCGATCTATTCGATGCATAAAGATCGATCCAGATTTATTTTGACAACTCGCGATTATCGAAGTATCAAATTTTCAAAGACGCCTAGCTACTATAATGATATTGTCGGCGGAAGCTGTATACTTCTACCCGAAACTGTCATACCCGCTCTCCGGCGGGTATCTATTTCCATTTTTTTGTATCCTGATTCAAAAGTTTCAAGTAAAAACAACTCGCGGATTCTTAACAATTTTATCGTTGTATTTTAAAACATAAGCAGATTCATCGAAATGTCGGCCAAAACCAGTGAGTAACCTGTTTAATTGACTATTAATTCATTAGAAGAATAAGTAAATAGAAAAAGAGAGAGAGAGAAATATATAATTGCTAATAAAGATTTCAATGAATTATTCCTTAAATAAAACTGGCGCTCTCTTTCGAAGGTAAAGCTCTTGACTCGCCTTTGGCGAACGTCGCATCGGGAATCGAGGAACGTCGATGTAACTTGATCTGTCGTCATAGAGACCTTCGAAACAAGATCGTCGCAATAGAACGCTCTATCCCGGCCTTGATGGCGTACAACCTTTGGATGACCGAACGCCGAGACCATGACCGAGATACGCCGTGCGAGAAAATGCGCGAGATCATGAATAAGTTATCACCGCAGTCGGATCCTGCCGATAGACTCCTCGCCGAATTAAGGAGCACGGTCGACGACCTTCATCGAGAGACGGCACAGTTGCATGTACGGCACGATTGACACATTCGACGATAAGAATTCTGGGTAAATCTTGCCAGTGTGCTTTTTTTAGCGCGATATTGATACCGCGCAACCAATATTAACGCGTTATCATCGAACAAAGAACCATGAAAAATCGTAAAATTAAAAACTGTGAAGAAATTATGACAAATTCATGTAATTATTAAAAATCTGTTGTGACAATTTTACAGTCCAATCTCTTCTTGTTGATGCAGGATAAGATCATAGATGCAGATGTGAAATTGGAGGAAACCGGCATGGAGTTGGAGTCCTTAGAACTGGCTAACAAAGAAATGGAGGAAAGACTAACAGAATTGCGAAATGAAATGACAAGACACAGTACACCCAGCCTACACTCCATTCACTCCGACGATCTGATATGTCTGAGGAAAATTCGTCAGCTCGCCGAAGAGGAATTAAAGCTGAAGAACTGCATCAAGGAACTTGAAAACAAGGAAATCACGTATAAACATCAAATGAGCAAATTACTGTCCTGTAAAAAGTTTCAGCGCGATAGCAGAAAAATGACAGAAATAGAAAGAAATAGTAGAAGAGTATGGTGTCCGCTAAAAAATCGCAAACACGATGTATATGCGACAAAGAGAAAATATGCTCTTAAAGATAAGGGACGAGTGAGTAGAAAAAATGTATATATAAATCACGTAAGATAGATTCTCTTCCACAATTCTACGCTTCTTTCATTTCTACGTTTCTTCTAATTTAGAAGACTTGTTGTTCGTGTGCGACGTCGGTGACGTTAACCGGTTACGAAGAAATGTCGAAGGGATCGTTTAAAGGGCGCAAAAAATTATGCCCGCCAGCTTCGTGCTGCATTCCGCTGGATAATCGCTCAATCAAATCTCGTAGTTACAAAGTATGTTGCAAATCTTGCCAACGAATCTCTACCACTATATTCAAATCCAAATCTCCTTACGAATCAACGAATCCTTCTTGCGAATCTCTACAAAGTGTCGTCTCGAAGATAGGCACGTATTCGCCGGCTTATTTTCTACATCGTAAATTTTATCTGGAATATTTTACATAAAATTACTCATAAGAAATTAAATACCCTTTCTTTCGCGTTAAAATTGATAAATGCAAAGGTACGTACATATAAATTTTCAGATGTAACACGATCGCTCAAACGATTAACACAATCTTCTGTATCGTGTGATTTCGGTAAGACGTGTAATGAATGCGAGACTCCTGCTGCATGCAAACGAATTAATATCTGCAAATGTGAAGAAAAAAGTGCACGCGAATCATCGACTGCACCCTGTGATTGTAGCGTTACGCCATTGGACAAGACTCGTCAATCGACAATTTCGGGAATGTTATGTTCGGAATCGGAAGTAGAGGACACCGATAGTGACGAGTTTTGCGAGTGTTGCACTTGTGGTTGCGAAGCCACTGAAAATTCATCGATATGATCAATATTTAAATAATTATATCAATCACTTAATAAAAAATGCTCATTATATAAAATTATTTTATATACTGTGAAAAAATATCTTTATTTTAACACACAATTACATGTATAAGTTTTGCACACAATTACAAAACATTTATAGAAAAGATTTGTATATATTTTTGCAAAATAATGACATTGTTTATTAGTTTATTAGTTTTCGATATGCATTTATAAACAAAAAAATTACATATTATAAATAATATATCATGTGAAATAATCATAAACATGTGTGTGGCACATAAAAAGCAATAGTACTACCAATAGAAAATATGTTTTAATGTAAAAAAATGTAATGAAACAGATATAGCATATCGATTTCTAATTTTCACTTGCTCTCTTAAAACGGAATGTTAAAAGGATAATAAGGACTGTCGTATGCGCTGAAAATAAAAAAAGGAGAAAACATTAATACATATCGCAATTTGAGATAAAATTACTAATTCTAATTAATAGTACATTCTATATATATTATAAATATTTTAATAATACACTCTATATGAAAATAAAAAATTCTTTATAAATAATTAATGATAAAAAGTAGTAACAAGTTCTTACCCAAGTAATGGACAAATTCGTCCATTGCAATCAAAGCTGTCAATATATGTAATATCATCGGATGAAAGTTTAAAGTCGAATACTTCACTGTTTTCAGCAATACGTGACTTGTTGACTGACTTGGGAATCACAATATGGCCACAATCCAACTACAAACAATTATTAAAATTATTTGAATTTTATATTAATATATCGAGTTATCAGTTATGTTATAAATATCATGAATCCTAAAATATAACTTAAAGATTTGTAATTATGTTTAATGTATTATGATTTATTACAAAATATGTCTTAATAGCATACTTGATAACGTATAAGTATTTGCGCAGGTGTCTTATTGTATTTTTGTCCAAGCTCATTTAATTTCTTATCTTCCAGCAATTTTGGATCGTCTGGCTTGGCCCATGGTCTGTCTGGTGATCCAAGTGGACTGTATGCAGTAATGAGAATGCCTTTTTCTTTGCAAAAATTTGATAACTTCCTCTGTGTTAGGTATGGATGACATTCAACCTAAAATAATACAAAAATGATTAAGATATCTATAATAATAAAGATAATTATACATTTCTCTTTATATAAATACATATATCTGTATATATAAAATTTTATAAATTAAAAAACTAATTAACAAAATCTCGTTAGACACTGTTAGATCAAATTTTTACTCCTTGATATAACCCTATTTTAAAACAACTTATAGTTCAATGTAATATTAGTGCGATTATATTAAATTATGTTGGATTAATTTTTTCGAGTTTCCTTCTATTGCTATCATTCTTAATTTACCTGATTTGCAACAGGTTTAACTGATGCATTCTTGAGTAGCCTGGTAATTTGCTCGGAATTAAAATTACTGACTCCAATGTTTTTCGTCAAACCCTTAGCTAGCACATCCTCCATAGCCTTCCAAGTATCGATATAATCTACATCACTCAGGATAACAGCACCTTCAGGAGTTGTAGGAAAAAGGGGCCCGCCCTCTTTATATCCGACTGGCCAGTGGATTAAATAAAGATCTATGTAATCAAGACCAAAATCAGTCAGCGATTGCTTGATGGCTGGCTCAACCAGATCGGGTCTGTGGAAAGTATTCCACAACTTGCTGGTAATGAACAAATCCTCTCTCTTCACCACACCCTCTGCTATTTTTGCATTGACAGCAATGCCAACTTCCTTCTCGTTTCCATAAACATGAGCGCAATCAATATGTCTGTAGCCGATATCAATAGCATCTTTTACAGCTTGGGTAACTTCGCCTGGTTTAGACTGAAATAAAATAGAGTCAAATTAAAATAAACAGGCTCTTCGATCATCTTGAAATAAATTCTCTTTTTTAAGAAAGATTTCTATGATGGAAATATTTAATATTACTTTTGTATATTATACTTTGGGAGAATAAGTGGAGATTAAAATTATACTTTAATTATATTTTTACTTATTACTTTAATAATATTATGCAACATATGTAATTCACACTTAAGTTATAACATAATGTGATCAATTTGCAGTTAATTGCGTAACATATTTGCATTTGTATGCTAATAAAAAAAAACGTAATAAAAAAGCAGTAGCTAGCATAACTAGTGCAAAAATAGCAAACTGTATCTTAATAGATCACATTGGCAACCGACAGTTGTCTACAAAGTGTATACATTAACATAAATATTTTCCTCGTTTCTTATCTTGCTTAACAAGGACAAAGATGTGATCTATCTCGTAAATATTGATAACGAAAGCTGCTGTGTTAAAATAAAAAATAAATATTCTTATTCTTTGTATAAAGCGAATGTCTCTGTGGATTATTTATCACGAAAGAATTTTACAAAATTCGACGTAACAGCGACATTACGTATGCCGGGTATCAAAGATGTCCGGATTCCGGATCGCGGAGAAATAACAAAATATAAGATGAGAAATCCTTGCCTTCCAGGTCCCCAAACCGAAAATTGGTACTTCGTTGCCGTTGTAAAATTTCAACTTGGGTGCGTTCAAAACCATTTTCTATAAATATCAGAGATGCCGGTTCTCGCTTGTTGCTCGTCACTATACAAATGCAGACAGTTTGAATGAATCTCAAGAGCTGTCACGAAAAGATACGACCAATTCCGAGCAATGCTGCGCAATATTTGCGGTTTTGCTCGCAGAATTCCTCTTATAAGCGTCCCCACCAAGGAGAATCAGACTTACAATTAGAGACAAGATCGATTTTACTCTCACAAAGACACTTCTTTGTGTGTTATTGCGCACAACCGGTGACAACGTATCTTTCAAATTTAAAATTACGTAAAAGCGATATTCACTCGAAATTATTCCATTCCCGTGCTCGAAATTTAATTCTTAACAATTATTAATTTTGAAGCAATTTTTATTTATATCATTTTTTTATAAATCTCTTTAATATTCATGATTAAAATATATAAGTATTGGAGTTTATATTGTATATAGAATCTATATTACTATTTTCATATTTAAAAAATCCAACATTTTCAGTAATTTGGACTACTTTACTCTTCAACTCTTACATCATGAGAGTCTTGCATAACAACGATATATTCACTGATAAGCAATATTCGCATATAATATATCATCAGTGCGTGGTTAGCAAAACGAACTAATCCAAATGATCTGTTTGTAGTGATAGCTGAATTCGCCATGGCAATCTAAACGCTGTGGAAAATTACAGCGATCATTCAGGAACATTTGGAGCAATGAATCGAGCCCTTGATGACTCCTTATGGAAGACCAATGTTTTATTCACACACACATAGTAATATATTAGTACATTAGTACATTAATAATCTAATAAAGTTACCGAAAAAAATGATAATTCGGCGATAATAAGATTATATCACATCGCATAAAATATATATTTTCTGTTTCTAATTATATTACTATAGTAATTATTTTTACTATTCCTTGAGATTTAGAATTTTTTATTTTGCTTATTATATATCCCAATGAGATTGATAATTGTCTTCAGGTAATATAAATCTTGCGATTTTCGAATAATGATCGGAAGCCTTATTCGAAGAAAAAAATTGATAAATGTTTAATTTTATTAATAATTGAATTTTTAATCCACATCTATATATATCAAAACTCAAATTGAACAAAATTTTACTTTTATGACAATATTATTCATTGATAATCACTCTAAGAACATTAGTAATTAATAAGCAATAGCTAAAAATATAGATTGATCAAATTTCGATAAAAAGAATAGAATATGAATAAATAAATAGCTATATGCGATAGATTGCATAATGTAAAATGCACGAGTTTTGCTAAAATTAGATAAGAATAAGGAACTGTGTAAATAAATGATACGATCCTTAATGGATATAATTTATATTCTAAAATAATCAGAATATATAATTATTCCATATGTATAATGTATATGTACGTGACGATATAGATATAACCGAAACAAAAGTTTTTCAGGTATTCCATTTTTCATCAACTTCCAAAGCTCTTATCTCGATTTATGTGTGTGTGTGTGTGTGTGTGTACTGTGACGCATGAGATTTGCAAATATAGATTAAGTCGTGCTTTATCGCGTAGTTTTAATCAAATGGAATTCGGAAAAAGACGAATAAACCAAACAAAAATATGCACGAATGATCTTGGCCCAGACCTTGAAATTTTTTGCAGCGTCCAATAGCTGTAATTGGCTAGACCAAGGGTGGAACGAGTATCAACCGTGAGAACATGTGCTCTTTTAAAAGGGATACTAATACGATTATATACGATGTATCATAACTAGTATCCTGTCACTTTCTAACTTTAATAAATTCACAACGTTATCTGATCGGATATTTCGAAAAACATTATTAAATTAATTAATATCTTCTAGTTAATATCATTTAATTAATATCTCTTTTGGACATTTTCCATTTAAATTTGCTGGATTATCGAAAAAGAAAAGAGAGAGACTATTAAAGTTAATTTGGAAATATCTTTGAACTATATTTTAAAAAGTATTTTTTTTTAAGTGTATATATATATAGGAGATTTATTCGATAAAGCTTTCTTATGTTTATATAAATTCTTTTTTTATTACATTCATATGTATATCACTTTTTATGGAATAAAATACCTGTCCCTTTCTTTCTTTTTCATTCTGATTTCATTTAAAATGGAATGTTGAAAGGATAATACTTGAAATCCTTCGCTCTGAAACACAGAAATAAAAAAAAAAGTTATTACAGAAACAGGAAAATATTAAATTTTATGATAAGTCACATATAATTCAGATTTTTTACTATTCTTGAACGTGCAACAGTTAAAAATAGAAATACCATTTAATTGAAATATTGACTAAAAAATTTGGACTTGGATAAATAGATCAAAGTACTCGCATTCATGGAAAGAAGTAATAAATAATAAAACGCGTCTAATACATTATAATACTTACATACTAAAACCTGCTACTCTATCCCCAGTGCCGAGTTTTCGGATAGCGTTCATTTCATCGGATGTCAATGTAAAATCAAAAAATTCCATATTCTCTTTAATTCGACTTTTAGTTACAGATTTTGGTATTGGTGCAACTTCGTGTTGAAACTATAAAAATAATAAAATACGACATATATTTCAAATTTATTAATTATATATGATTTTATCGACTTTTTTTATTACATACCACATATCGAAGTGCTATTTGCGCCGGAGTCTTATTGTATTTTTTTGCAATCTTCAGCACCACAGGACTATCTAATCTGTTTCCAATACCTGATGCATTCCCGGGTTGTCCCAAAGGAGAATAACCAGTTACTGTAATGTTGCGTTTCTTGCAAAAATCTACTAATTTCTCTTGATTTACGTTTATATTAATTTCAATCTACAACCAAATTTTTTGAATTAAAATACAATCTTATAGTATTATAATATTGGATGATTGCATAAGTTCGTGCCCGATTTTCATAGATGGCATTAAGTTACTGCATGGCGGAGTTCTATTGTTTTCGTGTGGTAATTGTTGCTTACACCGAATAGATGACGTTGTCTTATGTCAATTTAGCGTCAGACATTGTTCAGATAAGTCCATTTGTGCATAAGAGAAATCATTAAAAATGGAGAACGAAAAGGTGCATTTGCGGCATGTAATGTTATATGAATTTCGGAAAGGCGTGAGTGTTGGGATTGCACAAAAAAATATTCAAACCGTTTATTTGGACCGCGCTCCTGCTCTCCGAACAGTCAAAAAGTGGTTTGGCAGATTTCGAAATGGTGATTTCAACATGGAGGATCAACCCCGCTCTGGACGGCCTTCTGGCATTGATGATGACATTGTGCATGCCTTAGTGGAAAGAAACCCAAGGATTACAACTGAGGATATTGCTGAGAGGCTGAACATCGATAATTCAACCGCTTTTCGTCATTTAAAAAAGCTTGGATACGTTTCCAAGCTTGATACATGGGTGCCGCATCTCCTGACTGAAAGGAATAAGCTAAACCGTATGACTGTGGCTCTTTCTCTTCTCGAGTGTAACAAAAAAGAGCCTTTTTTAGATCGAATGGTAACAGGCGATGAAAAGTGGATTCTCTACAAAAACGTACAGCGAAAGAGGACATGGAAAACAGCAGCTGAAGGAGCAGAACCCGTAGCAAAGGCTGGCTTGCATCCGATGAAGGTGTTGCTGTGTGTTTGGTGGGATCGCAAGGGAATTATTTACTTTGAGCTGCTCCGACGCGGCGAAACAATCACGGCGGACAAGTACTGTGAGCAACTAACTAGACTCGCTGCAGCTATTCGAGAAAAACGTCCGATTTTGGCCAATCGAAAAGGCGTCATCTTCCACCACGACAATGCTAGGCTACACGTCGCTCAACAGACGCTGCGAAAATTGCAGGAGTTGCAATGGGAAATTCTGCAGCACCTGCCATATTCTCCAGATATTGCGCCTTCAGATTTTTATCTGTTCCGGTCTTTGCAGAATAGTTTAAATGGCAAGAATCTCAATTCCGAGGAAGTTGTCGAAAACCACCTTACAAACTTTTTTCAAGAAAAACCAAGTTCTTTCTTCAAAAATGGAATCGACAAGCTTGTAGATCGTTGGAAAACCATTGTAGAAAAGAATGGAGACTATATAATTGATTAATAAAAGTGTTATCTCTAAAATATAATCTATTGAAGTTTATATTTAAATCGGGCACGAACTTATGCAATCACCTGATATATAGAAAATATATATAATAAATATTAATATAATATATATTCTACAATACAAATCAAAGTAAATTTGTATTGTTTATTCGTGTATTATTTTCGATATATCTCATTATTAATAAGATTAAAAGTTCGATAATTTTTTGTGGTTCTTTAAGTGATTATCGAAACTAATATTTTCTGTGATTAAATTAGACGTTACAAAATGAAAAGCTGATAGAAAATATATTTAATCTTACCTGATTATTAACCGGCGCGATTTTAGCCGATTCAAGTAGACGGTTTATCTGTTCGGAATTAAAATTACTGATCCCGATGCTACGAGTTAATCCTTGGTGAACGCACTCTTCCATTCCTCTCCATGTTTCTAGGTAATCAACATTCGATTCAATCAAATTTCCATTCTTATCCGTAGGCATCAAATTATCTCCTTCCTAAAAAACATATTATAGTATTTCTCAGATGAATATCATAAAAATACTTGCTGAAAGATTATAATAGCATGTTCTGTTTTACAAGTTAGATTTCGCGCATTTTTTTTTTCAAATTCTGGTTTTAATAAATTTTTATTTTTATTATTAAATAAAACTACGCAACTATTTTTGCGTCTCGCATAAACCGCTATTATTTTAAGATAACTTTGTAGTCAGAAAGGTTAAATAAAATGTATAATTCTTTTTGGCTGTTTCATTTTTTGTGTTAATTCTTACCTTGAAAGCAAATGGCCAGTGAACTAAATAGAGATCTATATACTCTAAACCAAGATTGGCCAATGATTCTTTACAAGCCGGAACAACAAGTTCTTCTTTGTGGTAATTATTCCACAACTTTGAAACAAAACAAAATAATATAAATATTAATTAAATTTACAAAGCAAAATGCTTTAGTTAATTTAAATGTTTACATTTATTGAAATTTAAAAAGATGGTTTGAGTTTATCAAATAAATTGTAATAAACATTAAAGATTTTAAATTAATGTATTCAAACCGTATTTAATCATACATTGATACTATCTTACCTTTGTAGTAATAAATAGATCTTCCCTGGTTACGCTACCGTCTTCGATTTTTTCGCGGATAGCTT